CCTGTCACGTTCAATAACTGGCTGCTGGACAATGAAGAAATTGTTCCCAACACTTTATGGAGCGATGAAGCAAATTTTTGTGTGGATGGCATAGTCAACAAGCACAACTGCGTTATATGGTCCCGTGTAGCTCCTCACGAGTAGCTCACCCATAATCTCCGTCCCCCTCATCCGTGTGTGGATGGGATTCTCCTCAAATTGTCTCCTGCGTCCCTTCTTCTTCGATGCTACGGTTCCCGGGACAGTTACCTCCATATGCTGCAGACGCGTTTCATCCCGCAACTCAAGCAGCACAATAAGTCATCGACCATCTCTCAACAAGATAGTGCTCCACCTCACCACTCAATCCAAGTGAGAAATTACCTGCGAGAGCAATTTTTTGATGAGAGAGTCATCGCACGTGGATTTACAAACTTTTGGCCCGTAAGGTCATCCCATCTCACACCTCTGGATTATTGGTTTTGGAAAATGATCAAGGCTTGCGTATATCATGAAAAGAAACCATAGAATTTGGTGGAATCAAGAGCAAGCACGAGTGACGCTTGAAGTAGTTAAACGTGCTGTTTCTCACACCGCATACAGCGTCCAACTTATCATAGAAGGAGAGGGAGGTTTTTGTTCAATAGTTTTTTGTAATGTCGGTTTGTTTGCAGTAAACCTCCATAATGTGTGTATGTACACAAAAAAATGATAAATGTTTGATTTAGTGTTAAAGTTTTACCAAGGATATTATTTTTTGCGTCTATTATGAGACAATCTGCGGATTAAATGTCGATGTAGTGCAGGCTAGCGAGCTTGATATTTGGCTAGCAGTTTTTTGATGGTCTTATTAGGCCTCAGAAACAGGGAACTGGATGCCATTCGGTTGTTTAACTGCACTTATGAAACAATTTTTTTAAAAGTGGCTGGTGGTAACAAAACTTCGGAGTGGACACATTCTATCAGAGGTAGTGCGCTCCCTCTCTTCCGGGCGACAACGTCGTCATATCAAACGACAACGGGTTTCTGCGTAGGCTGTCAATATATCCGCAAGTTTTCATTGAAAAATACAACTTTGGCAATTGGCGAACTCAGTCAATTACGTCCAAGAATTCCTAAGACTGATTTCGCAGCAACCAACTTATGCGCCTTGTTCAGACAAGGTACAATCAAATCACCACAAAGCCGGACCTTTGCGTCAGATTTTGGGTATTTTTGGGCAGAATGTATGTGAAAATTAAAGAGTCAGCCGATGTACAATTTTTGCCGGTCCAGCTTATTTTCCTGCAACGCATCCATCTAACCATTGCCGGCACCTGTGCTTGTGAGGTAATTCCTTCACCCGTTTTTGTCCATGCATACCAGCAGAGGGCGGTATGAAGTTCATATTATCACGCGACCGAGTTGTCTTACTGCTAACTTGATTGCAGCTACCCCTAGCCGACTCACGCGTTAGATTGTCAACGGTAATGTCACGTGGCCACACCGAGTTATGAACATCCGAATGCCGCCGAGGCCGAATTAAACGTTTAGGGTGGTCTGACAAAGAGAAATGAATCACTACTGGAGCTTTAAATGATTGGACAAGGAAACCGGTGATGTTTTCAAATACAGGAAAGAACTCATCTCCTCAAAACTATGACTATTTCCGATAGCCAGGTATGAACCGTTTGCTGTGTAGACCACGCGTACCGCATGCATAATGTTGGATTGCAGCGTCAATTCCTTGCAGAATTGTCGAAAGCGTATACACGGAATAAAATTAATCAGCCCAACGTTGAACAGTATTTCCACAGCAAAACGATTGCTTCGTTACTAATGACACCTGGAAGTGTTTGTTTATTTCAGTAACATATAGTGGGACAAATTCACGGTGGTTTATCTGTTTGCACCGGTTCGGCAGGCCTGAAAACACAGTAATTTGGGGACACTGTGTACGGTAGGCATCTGTGCTATCAAGAGCTTTGATATCACTTGTTGAGAATTGTGTGTCGAATGAAGACCCCTGCTGAGTTAAAGGTGACATATATAGTTAATATGTTATTAACTGGTCGGATGGCTGTGTTCAGCGCGTCGGTTCCTTTCGTGAAACGACAGCGGGTCACTGTGTGCCAGTCGCAAGGGGAAAGACAAAATATCGTATGGATGTCAACCGCTCGGGGCCAACTAATCGGCCATACGAACGGTTGCTCACCCTCAGTAATTCCCCGTGAACGTCCTCACAACTAAACAGTCCTGAAGAACGACCTACCGCCAAAATACCACGCGTTGTTGATGTCCTCTGGACTGCGGACGAATCGAACCAATAGGCTGAGCACAATGAACCTTGGTTACACACTTATTTATGGCTATTGATTACCTGCCTTTTACTTGCGGTTTTGGAGTGGGGACTGTGCGCAAATGTTTGTCTCACGTAGTGGCACAAATATGAGTGACAGTAAACGAATTCAATACTTGTAGAATAATGACTTGGCCGTTCCCTTCTTGCATGGGGAAACTGGAATGCATTTTAGATTAATTATCTGATCGATCGATTGATTGATTGATTCATTATCTAACTATCCGTTTTTTCACTAAGAGAATGGACACTGAAGCTACTGCTAGGTTCTACTGTAAGCTGCAGCTCCGAATGCCTGTTTACCGGGTGGTGCTTCCGGGCTCGATCACTGAACAAGACCCAGAATAAGCGGTTGTGTCTGGATTCTTAAGAGAGGTCTCCGAGCTAGACCCTGTTCACTAAATCCTCCCCCATATTCCACCATACGTTTGAGTAAAGCAAATTTTCTGGAACGTGTCAATGAACAAAAACTTACAAGTGGGTTGAATGACCTTCATCATTTGAACTGCTGAGTTGTTGCAGGATTCTCGAAAACACAAGGCGCCACTATGCTGCCGTAACCATGGCGTTAAAGAAAGTTGCCAGTTTGATCCACTACTGGATTGTGACTGTATTTGACTCCAAGGCACAACACACTGGTGCAATACGTTTGTCCTTTTTAATTCTTCTGCTACGAAGAACGTACTAGAAACGATGAATGGATGTCTGGTATGAATACATGAATTCATATTAGGCACTAAATCCTCAACACTCTTGAAAAAAAGTGCAAAACTGACCAGATCACAAACAAAGTCTTCTGAGATTTGTTATCCGGCATTTCAGTCACCACAGGTGACCCTCAGCAGTAAAAGCGACAGTCGGAGTTACAAGAATGACGCTGGCTTGATCAATGCGACAAGTTCATGTCCGCGGTTTGAAGCTGAATTCAGAGCCTCACGCATCTCCTTAGTCTATACGGGGGGCGGATCGTTCGCTGTTTAGGCTGAAAATATGATCCGTTACGGAGATACTACTTATCGGTATATTTTGTAAGAGAGTTCATGTTATTCATACTTCTTGTTTCTTTTATCAACATGCTGAAATTTCAAGAGCGTTTTCAGGCCGGTAATAATCTAACCCGAGTTATCTGATATGGTCGCTACTTTCGAAAAATATGTTTTAGTCTGATGACCGAGAGGGATGTATACGGTAAGAGCGCAGTTGGAGCAAGTGGCGGGCTTCGAATCATCTGCTAAGAATGGCTTGTGATTAGAGCTCGAATGCGCTAATTGGAAAATCCGTGGTTCGAACCTGACCACTTCATCTCGACTTCTCCCCTCCAAGCTTGGGCAACCTGGCAGTATCCCAGTCCTCATGCTTCCTTCGGGTGTCGTGACAGTTAGGCACCATGCGAGTCTTACAACCGGACGATTTTTTTGTAAAAAATGTGCACATTTTGGACCAAATTCTAATCACAGTGGCGTTTGAATTTGTAAACGACAATGCTTTTCGCGCGCCTTCAAAAATCCGACGGCGCAATCAGGATTTGTCCAACAAGTTCCCTTCTAACATATGGATGCCGTAAACCAAAAGTTGTCTTGAGCTGCGTTGATCATCAATCGTGCTGTGTTCAGAATGGTTCAGAATTTCTGTTTTAACAGCGAAACGAAAAGTGCTCCACGGATAACTTTGTCAGCACAACGTAAAAGAAAACTTATTGCTTGTTTTCACATCCGTTAGCACAAGCAGCTCTCATGGGAACAGAATCGAAAGAAACCTTCAGCTAAGGTGTTTTGGTGGATGATGAAGGTGAACATTGTTGTGTTGATACTATGGCGGAAAAATCCGCGCTGTTGCCAAGTGGAAAAACATACAAAATTCGGACAACCACTTGGGCAAATCATCGCAAAGCGATGGTTCGTGATTGGTTCAGAGCATTTGATAGATACGACCATTTCGGTGCAAATCCTCTCGATGTCTGGATCTCATAGGTCACATGATGTCTGCGAAAACAACACATGTGACCTTAACCGAACCTAACGGGATTAGGTGACTGCCAATGGACGTTTTCCGCTGAGACAGATTTCATTGGTTGTTCTTCATTCGTCCTTGACAAATGAGTTGCATTCTTAATATCACTTTTATCAGAGTGCTTGTACACGACAGTGATCGATAGATCAGCTGGCTTGCACGTTCGTTAACTTTTTCTGGTTTGACCAAGCGCACCACGGCTACCCAGACCCCACGGCTAACCAGACCGGGGTTCACGGTAGTAAGAAGGCATTAAGGGAATGAGGTCCACAATAGTTTGTAATTCGTACTTGCATAGCCTTTCTGCTACCCGAAAAAAGCTGAGTTTCTATTCAGCCAGTTGTCCCCGAAACAGGTGAGAGAGTTTCAAACATCCGAAATACCTAAAACTCCTAATATCGAGTAGAACGTTGGGCTGGTAGCAATTCAACGGCTAAAAGAACCGTCCTTTTTTGAAGAGTGTCCTTTAGTAGCACAGATTTATCACTTTGTTCTCCCCTCGATGCCTTCTGTTTCATAGCTTTATGTACGTCTTTTACCTAAAAGCCTGCGTCTAGGCAGCACCACATTGCTTCAAGAAACTCTTTTACTGTTTTGGCTAGGCCACCTTCGTTGAATGAAGTAAAAAATATTCGATAGTTAACAGAAAGAAATTTCATCCATTTGTCAATCATCAAACATCCATGGGTGAGGCAGTCTGTAAAGAGAAGATGAAATAAAGAATCAGTGGCCTCAGGAGATACTGTGAAACGGATGGATAATTGGGGGCCAAGTTTTTGGTGTACTCAAGTGAACATTAAGCACGTAGATAACTTCGTAATTTAGCAACTGCAAGTAGTTTCGATATCGCCAAGAGTGCCCTGGGTAAAATTTGGTTTGGTCGACAGTGTACTTTGTCATGAAGGGGATCAAGTTTGTGAGACCAGGTCGGTCACAGTTTTAATAAACTGGTGATGGCTTTGAATAAATTTATTCGGTAAAGGAGTATATCAGTGTTGCAAACGCCAGAAACGTTTTGATTTCTGATACAGCCCAAACATTTTGGAAATTGTCAAAAAACTAAAAACGTATGGTTTCCTTTATTTCAGTTCAGAGTCTTAATATCGACTGTGACAAACGTCTCCTACATATTCGTAATTTCTAAGTGACGTCTCACTGAATAATATTTTTCAACTCTCAACATCAATAAATTTTTTAGGACTTGTTATTAATGATATATCAGTGTTTTCAGTCAATATGTGAAAACAAAATAGGCAATAATGCTTAAGTCCTATGTGGAATATAGCTCAGTATATTAAAATTTCCTTTTTGAGTTTAAATTCAGGAACTCGCTGAATTTTTCACTTCCTCAGAAAATATTTTGGCACAACTCTCCGGGTAGTGCATTTGTTAATATTAGAATATTTTGGATACATAGGACATCAGGCATGCAAAACTCCGAATCCATAGGTGTGCCGATAAATTTGTTGCCTTGTTCGCTGCAATTGGCATCATCAAAACCGCGCATCACGTCGAATGCGGCCACCAAAATGCAACTCCATTATTTGAAATAACATGAGTTGAAAACAATTATAGCGCGATGCTCCGTTCTCATTAGAATCGTGTTAAAATCACAACACACAAAAATAGAAATCTTCCCTCACCTGAGTTATACACGATGGATTTCTTTCTCAAAAGGTGAGTATTTTAGAATGGTATGCAGTGTGATTCATTCTCGCTCAACAAACGCCCAACCGGCTTGAAGGGGTTTTGCTATCACGAGTTTTGAAACGTGCAAAAATACATGTTAGACCTGGAATAAAAAAAATCTTGCGTGACGATTGGGATAGAGGAGCCCCACAAGTAATCCACGCAGGATATCTTGACATTTACTTGTCTTGCGATTTGAGAGAAAAAATGGTCCTAATGAGAATACGCATTTTACCAGCAAATCATCAACGGCGGCATTCTCAGAATGAACCGTTTTCTTGAGGAGCCAGTGGGCCAGAATATCTCGCAATACACTTAGAAGGATTTTTGTTGTGGCTTGAGAGGTTTTAGCAAGGTTATGGAATGCTGGTTGAAAGTGCAGTGTCTGAGATCCTCGGTGAAATTTCAGGCTGTTTAGATCTTGAAAATAAATTTACATTTATCCAAGCGATTCGTGTTGCTGCACGCCGAACCTAGAGGCAGTACTCATTTCATTGGTCTAGTTTTGTTTTTGCGACATTAACAGGTAACGTGGACGCATGGGTTGTGCTTGCCATATGTTACAATGTTCGTGGACACATTTTCTGAGATGCGTAGCTTAATTGTACCCCCAGACCGCGCACTGCAGTGTCGGCTGAATTAGATGGACCGGTTTGGAATGCAGAGATTTGCAATTCGGGGTTGGACGTTATTCAAATCGCCGGAAGAAGAGTACTTGAAATCTGTTGGTTATAACCACGATCGGGGTACTCAGGACAACCACACTTTAATCTATTATAAACCTATCGACAGTCGCCGGCGCCAAGAAGTTTTTGGGGCATCTTCTCAATGAAATATGTTGCTGAACAAGATGCTAAATAAGACCGGTTTCATATGAGTCAACGTTTTCTAAAAGTTCTCCGAAACTCGGTGCCTCAAACTACTGTATTTTTCACCGACGCTTGACAATTTGCAATTGTTGCTGACCATTTTCCTAGTTTTGAGAGGGTCATCACAAAAGTTAGTCTACAATTTTTCACGGACGTCGTCTTCATCAGGTCACTCTGACGCTACCTGTGTGTCCTTTTATGGCGTCGGCAACATTTTCAGACGCTTTTATCAAATTTGCTGGACTGATTGTTCTGTTCAACTAAGAAAAGAGCCTCCATCTTATATTTTAGCTGATGACGGGCTCAAAGGTTTCACATTTTCGCAACTGTCAAACCTACAGCGTTTCATCATAGGCGAGGAAACATTTTCCAAGCTTTTGGGTACCCTCACGAAACCTGCAACAAACAAACCGCTTCATCCACATCGCCACTTTAATCGTCACGTGTCCATCGTGTAAAAACATAACCTGGCCAGACGTCATAACTGCATTTGTTGAATGCTCGCCTTATCTGATACCGTTGCCAAAGGTTAACAGTTCTATGCAAATTAAGTTTTTTATCTGTTCTTATTTTGCTCCTGCAGTCACGGCCATTTTCTAGTGAACATAAATTGTGAACCTCTAAAAAGTGCCTAGATTGAATGAAATCCTCTTGTTTGTATTATCGACATACAACGTCGAATGAACCCAAGGGCATTTGTATCAACGTTGAGTGTTGCATATTAACTGCGCCAACAAATAATTACCAATTCACAAACAAATACTCACGTTGACGTCTAAGCGAAATAGGCTGATAACGTAAAGTGAGATCTGAGTTGCAACCAGAAGACTCGCTATGATATATCCTGACTAAATCAGAATCATGTCTGGCGCACTTGATAACTATTTTTGGTTATTACAAGAACAAGGAGCGCTCAGCGGACGAATTTTTGCGGTCTTATGCTTGTTTGAAACATCTTGCGAGTGTGGATTTTCTAGAATATGAGTAACAGTTCTGTGATATGCTACTAAAATTAACAACAATTTCATTAGGAATATGGTGCTTTTTATTCTACAAACGTGAAATTCAACGCGCATTTTTGGTCGAAATCATTCTAAAGGTGCGTTATGAGGTGAAATACAAGCAATATTCTCGGAGGTCCACATGATATCAAATAACGTGGTATATCCTGTCACGTGCCGCATGTATATTCCAGACAGATTTGTTCTCAATAATAATCCAAATAACCTGTTAATTTTTAAAACAATCGTTTGGGTTGCGAATGAATCACCTTGAGTTTCTGTTGGCGATTTACAAGCGCAAGGTATTGGGTTATAAATAACGCCATCTGCGCTTTTTGTAAAACATTTTTTTCGACATATATCCATATTTGATCGCCTTTGTTCAGGGTAATTTATCTTCTCGAGTGAAGGCGCTTTTAACCTCGGAATAAAGACCAACTACGTTTGCAGCTGCGAACCTTGTGATGATGACAGACACTCATTCAAAATATATGTGTGAAATAGCCAGATGTTTTTAGGATTCCGCCTAAAAGAGAACCACTCTGCAGACTATCAATCTGTTTATCCTTACAAGAACAAGGCCCAAACTTTTCGCTAAGTGGAATTTGGTCAGAATAATGAGCTGTTTCCCGAGGGCCCTCGCTCAATGTTAACCCACTGAAATTGTTTATGTAAGAATGAACAAAGAGCTTTTACCTGCGTGAACACTTAAGTAAACTGGAAATAACCAGATGGTCATTGGCCGACAAAAATATAAAAAAAACGAGGCACACGGTGTCGAATTATGTCTAGAAATAATAAAAGATCAAGAATGTGGAAAAAGGGGTGGAATAAATTGTCATAAGTGCCAAACATCTCGTAGTATCATTGTAAATAATATATAATGTTCATTTTTTTGCGCTCTATGAAAATCCTGCAAGTGAGAATAAATGAACGTCATGCCTGTGTGCCACGTGAAACAAAAGCTTTTGGCGTGTAAACGGCGTGCAGTTTTTCTTGAGATATTTTTTGACATTTGTCGCCGGTGGTTTGCTGATGAAGGCCGTTTGAAACATTATGCGTTGCTGGTATTCAACCATCAGCTTGCTTTGACGAAAAGATGTTTGGGAATTTCGGATGAACGTCCTCAAGTATTTTTTGAATGACAGTTTGTCCCGACACACCAGGAACTTTTGTCTGAATCAAAAATATGGTTACGTTTTGACAGTTGGTTGAAATGGTAACTTACCGACTCTCTTGGCTGAGGATGCATAAAGAAAGGAGAAATCACGTTAAGTTTTCTTCAGATGCATGTAGGTGTCATATGTTCTCGTGAATATAAAAGATTCTCACCTGTTTCGTAATCAATGGAACGCAGGTTCATCCAAACATAAATAAATCACGATAACTGTAGGTCTCTGCTTTTATTTCCAAAGTGCAAAAAAATGAGTCGGCCTGTTCATCCGGATATCCGCAACACGTAATGTATTATAGTGATCACCCTTGTTCTATTGAATGTGACTCGTGAAAACGAGAAATTCATGTAAGCGAGTGCTAACTACGCGCTCGATTTCAATGCAATGGGTGTCCGCCCTACGTCAAGTGGAGCCCATTGACACTAGTCTATTAAAACTTGGATGTCAGAGTTTGGATTTTGCTCGCAGTGAACGGATATTTTTTTGAAAATTCCTCATAATGTTAGAACTAATAAAGCGCTTTTAATTTACCTACCAAAACAGGAGTTGAATTCTTGAAACACAGTTCGAAAGATTTCTAGTGGATGATAATGCACTCATGCTAGTTTCTGATGGATCTGGTTGAGGACAAATTTACAAACGCGCACGTATTCACCTGAGATTGCTAGTAATCAGGACAATGTTGCACGGTTTTCTTGAACACAAATTAATATGTTTGACAAGCTGTCAGTTACAGACACATGGGTCTTGTAGAAATTTTACGAGATGACTAGGATTACACCCAACAGTTCCCGAAAATTGTATTCTGGAAAAAAATAGGCACAGGCTTTCAAAGAACTGGTATGCAGGTGCATATTCCTGACTTATTAATGCTAGTCTATGGGCAAAAGAGACGCGGTACTTGAACTTTTCTTTGTATCCGTCATTTTAGATATGCGTTTCCGGATGTGAGATGCAAACATAGGAGCTGGCAAATCATCCAATCGCATGCAAGCCTACTGATTGTTTGCGATGATCCAAACTCCCTTCCGCTGCCAAGGTGTGGGTCGCATTTGAAATGGAAATAGCAGATCTCAATAACGTCAAATTCACTGCACCTGATAATGCTGATAATATGCTTTCCAGATACTTTTGGATACTGTCGCGTTTAGTGACAGAAATCAAATATTTATCGGCGCACGTGCACAAGGAAATTGTCCGAAAAAGCGGTGTTGGTCATCTCAATAACGTCAACTTCACTGCACCTGATAATGATGATAATGTGCATTCCAGATACTTTTTGGATACTGTCGCGTTTAATGACAGAAATCAAATATTTATCGGCGCATGTGCATAAGGAAATTGTCCGAAAAAGCGGTGTTGGTCAATCGCGCTGTGTTCAAACGCTCAACGTAAACCGTGATATACGTCCTTGTTCTCCATATGAATGCCAATTGACACTCCAGTTGTAGTCATTTAAGACATTTTCGTTTCAGACATNCATTTAAGACTTCATCGTTTCAGACATTATCTGGGCCTTTTACTCAATTTCATAGGCCCTTTGGGGATGATATTGCCCTTGTCGTTTGACCGGTGGGTTACAAATACTTGGAAAAAATGCAAATGTGTTCTGCGTCCAATATGGCGTATAACTGAATGCATTCATCTTGCTCATTTAAGTTCAAATTCAGGAAAGCCAAATTCATTGGCGTGTTAGCTGTGATGTCATTAAATGTTGCCATCCAGACCGCGTATATCGTGAGCCTTAAATCGTCGACCACGTTTTACGTTTTACAAAATTCCAGTTTCCACCAAACTGAACAGCTTTTAGTACAAATATTAATCGTCAACGTGCGCATTTCCTGAACATGAGCGTGAATAAAACGCTGAACTCAACACCGTTGATGCAAGATGCGCATTTTTTACGGGAATTCATCTGAAAATACCACATGCACAGAGATAAAACCTCACGCAAGTTATGCAAGTTACAAATGTGAATAACTTTGGATGGTTTGCATTATGTTTTTGCAAAACAAACACTTCCAAGTTTTCTCCCCATTTCATCACAAACCTAATTGTAAATTAAAAATGCAACAACATTCAGTCGTTTTTTGATTAATGGCCGAAGGAATACAATTTCGAACTCGATCATAGATTAGGAACCTTGTGTGCTCTGGATGCGTTTCAAATTCACATGGAGAGCCAGCAATGAAAAACACGTGAAAATGCGTGTCGGTTACTCCGCACATGCATTTTCGGGAAATATGTTTCGGAACGCCTACTACGGAATTCGCGCCAGGGAAATTGGGCTGCTAAGCACACACTTCATACCAGGGGATCGATTGGGATTTAAGGTTCGCAAAAACTCTCGTGCACTGTGTATATTGTGATAACTGTGTCTAAAGTGTAAAGATGACAACATGTCTCGATACCTACCAAAAGGTTCAATAAAAGTTTGAAAATATCCTGACACTCTGCCTTTAAATGATTCAGTGGTTTCCATCTCCAAACAGAGTTTCAGCCGACATTCCATCTCGAAATCTGATATGCCCAATTGACCTGGGATCGCTAGGTTACCTGATTATTTATGAATAAAAGCACTTTGGAAATTGACCACTGGCCATCTCTTTGGTCCAGATAATTTGATGCTTTTCACTGAAATTAATTAAATGAAACGACATCCGGCAAATACAGTGGACAGTGTACGGTTACTCCCATAATCATTCAACCAGTTTTACTAAATTCATTGGACACGCCCGCTTACATCAAATCAGGCGTTACCGTCACCAAAATCACGCGACAGGATTCTGTCCCAAATAAAATCGCTGCCGTCAACATGTGAACAAAAATTCCACATCTGCAGAATAGGACGGGTTTGCGACGTTTCCCGCATTCTGTTGAATAACTTTCAATCTTATGCAGTTGTCAAACACACTGCTGGGTGCGCATCTGATCTCAGGACGCGTACACACATTTGCACTCATTCAGAGAGACGAATCCTACTACAAAGCTCAGATGCGCTGCGGTATTAATAATTCTACTGGACCGATTGTCAGGTTAAGTACTTCGTGGTCCATCAAGAAAAATTGAGGTTTCAAAATTCGCACCATATTGTTGATGACAATTATTAGTTACTCTAAGCACCAGGTAAAATACATCCGAAAAAACTCTCACCTGATGCAGGATGGACTTTGAGGAGCAGGGAGAAAAAGTGCACCTGAATCCACCCATTTTGCGCAGCACTGTGTTATCGTCCACTTGCACTTATATGATACGGCCACTATGATGTACATATATTAAACATCGATGAGAGTACGCTTGCCATTCCGGGATGCATAAGTCTGTATTTTGCTTCCTCACTCAAACAGCAACATGTACAGATTCATCTCCTGTTAATTTGAGGTATACGTGACGATGCACAACTAGCTTCATGCGTTTTGCGCGGCTGCATGCAAGACAAACATTATTAAGTTTCCACGTTTTGTGCGACCGTCCCCGCGTGATTGTAATTTTTTGGCCTTTGCGTTACCACTCGATCTGGTCGTATTAGGCCAGCCACTGGCAATATTTACAAATGGGGCGACCAATACAGCCAATAGCGCTCCGCTGTAGGCAAAACTGTTTTCTCCCGATTAGGGGGTATTCACAACAATCCTACAATCCCTGACTTTCCTGCGACTTCTGACTTTCCAATAAAGTTCACTCTCAATGAAACTCCATTAGATTGCTAGTAACTCACTTTCTGTTTCTGTGGTAATTGGAACGGAGAACGGATTATACATTACGCTGAGAACAATGCCGACAAATATTCGGGGAGGTTTCGAACCTTCTAATTTCTAATTATTCTCGACATGCCTGTTTGTGTTCACTACCAAGTTCCGGAAAAATGTGATTTGCATATGCTAGACTAAATATTTGAACCGTTTTTTAATTTGCTCTGCATTCACTAGGTTAGCATGCACAAACTTTCCGTTAAATTAAGTGATTTTCAGTGTCCTGCGATATTACAGATTTCCAGCAGGTGTTTTATTTTAAGGTTAAAAATGATATGTCGTGGAATCAGCTGTTAGTGGATTTTTTAATAACGAAACAGAAGTTAAACAATTTTCGGGATTCAGCATAATTTGGGAATGGGATTTTTTAGGTTCTGCAGAAAGAATAAATTTTTCCTTGAACGAAAGACCAACAATCTCTGCCGCTGCAAGTCACGTAGCCTTCAAAAGCGGTCATTCGGTTTGAATACGTAATCAAGAAAGATGTGATTCATGGGCTAATACCAGAAGGCAGTACGCAAAACTGGAAACTTCAATCTTGACAAAATAAGCATTGTTGGAACACACAGCTGGGTTAGGATGATCAACTGGTTTTCGAATAAGTGTTTTTCGAGTAGTATTGCTCAATATTTTAATATCGTCATTTTTCCTGTTCGTCTGACCAAATCCATGGTGAAAAAAATTCACGTAGCCGGAAGTCATATCCTTATATAATGACTGCTTGAATAACATGATATCTGAAATTTTTGTTGCTGCCAATCTACCATGTTTACCACCTCTGGTATTCAACCCGTTCGGGTACATCCACGATCGTCGATGTTTATCTAATTGTCATTTGGTAGCACTTTCTAGGGTGGAAGTGCTTAGATTTAAGGAATCCGACGTATGTCGTTTCCTTGCATGGGTCTGTCGCACAAATTTCGTGGACCGAAATCTGCTGCAATATTCTACTATCCGACTGTAACACGCACAATTTTTGCTAGCACCTGATGCAGGTTTGTCGTGCTAGAACACAGGTTAAGATTTCTATCAATAAACGTGTCCCAATGATCTCCACACAGTCATTAATTCCACTGGAAATCACGATCATTTGAATAAGGGATAGTTAATTTTAGGCGGATTTCTCATACAGTCACGAAAATCCAGCGTTAAGATTTTAGTTTTCACTGCGCTTTGTGAAATCATGCGCAAGATTAGGTTGGGCGAAAAATGGAAAACCTGGGGTACGAGTATCTCGTTGACCATCCTGGGCAGTGATATTGTCAATACCGTGTGAAAACACACAGCACTGGCACAACATTTCTTCATTCCGG